ACTGCTTGATTAATAATGTTGGGTGAAAAGCCCCTGTCAATAGCTATTGCTTTTAAATAATTTAGTTCTTCATCAAGGGCTAGTTTGGAGGAGCAAACTTGAAGAGCACACGGAAAACATAGGAATAAAATGAAGCTAACTTTTGTTTAGTCGGATGACATGATTTAAAGTGTGGTGGAAGGCAAACCGATGAAGGTTTACGGTAAACTGTAGTACTGAAGTTGGATGTGTTACGTGTGACCAGAATGTCGAGAAACGGAAGAGAATTGCAAGTCTCAAGTTCAATAGAATTCATTGTTGAAAGAACTTTATTTAAATCATCTTTATTACCTTCAAACAGGGTAAAAGTATCGTCTACGTAGCGGAACCATGCCGGGAAGTTTAAAGTTTCAAACAATTTTGATTCATAATAATGCATGTAGATATCAGCCAGGATGGGACTGAGGGGGCTTCCCATGGCTAATCCCTCAGTTTGCTTGTAATATTTATTTTGGAAAACAAAATGTGTTTGTTTCAAACAGAGTTGAGTGAGAGAAATTAGCTCATCAATTTCGATGCAAGAGAAATGAAATTCGCGAAGTCTGGTTTCTAGACATCTTAATGCACCCTCCACTGGGACATTGGTGAATAATGATTTTACATCAAAAAAAGGAGAAATGTTTTTAACCTTTTTTACAAACTCTATTGAATTTTTTTATGGTGTAAATGTTATTGTCTAATAGAGTGGAAAATCTAGAAACTAAATATTTAGCTAATGGATACGAGGCAGTACCTAAATTTGATACAATAGGGCGGAAAGGAATACCACTTTTATGAATTTTGGGAAGAGCATATAATCTGGCACAATTCGCAACAGATGGGATAAGCGAATGTTTTAAGTTGCTTGAAATGATTTGCGAAGATTTGATCGCAGTTTTTATTTTTGGATAAGTCCGAAGGTGAAGGATCTTTAGGGATCGGATTATATGGTCCTTCGTTTAAGAGTTTAGTGACACCATCGATGTAAGTGTTCTTATCCATGACGACTATCTGGCCACCTTTGTCGGCCTTTGAAATGACAATATCCGGGTTAGAATGAATTTCGCGCATTGTAGCTCTTTCTCTCGCAGTTAGATTTGGTTTCAAAGGTTTATTATTGAATTTCACATTATGAGCGATAAGATGCCTAATCATTTCTTTCTGTGAATCTGAAACTTTACTGAACTTGAAAGCTTTTTCGATAGGAGCCAAAATCTTTGGAATCGAGGGTTTACAGGTTTGTGAGAAGTTAAAATTATATTTTAGAATTCTCTCTTGTTCTTCTGAAAGACTAACATTAGAAATATTAACTATTGGCTTGATGTTTACAACAATGGGAAGATTTTTTTGAACTACTTGAACTGGAAGACTGTAAAAGAAGTTTTTCGAATTTAACTGCAAGGGTGTTTTTATGACGGTTAACTGCATTCTCCGTTCTAGACCAAGACTTTTGTTCAAGGGCAGTGAATTTTGGATATGAATTTTAGCGAGTTCCAGATGAAGCTTATAGAGTTCATGTTCAATTTTGGACAATTGTTGACGTGTGTATCCCTTATCACGGACCGAAGTAAGGCAAGCTTGCAATTTAACAGAATTCTTGAAACGCGACTCGAAGGTTTTTGATTAGATTTGATTTGAATAAAATTGGGGATCAATTTTTTACATTTACATTTAAGTAAAAAGTCAAGATGATTCAGGAATTTTTGCCGTTTCAGGCGTAATTTAGTGAAACGATTAACGGATGAAGGCATGATAACAATGCAGAAAATCAAACTAAATTAACTAAGCAATAATAAAGTACACACAAAACAGCAGAAAAATCCCTCACTGAAATGAATAGAAAACAAAATATTTGCAACTAAATTGCATGAAATCAGGTAAGCAATGCACAATATTCAAATATGTGAAACACAAACAGAGATAAGTTATGACATGAACGAGATATCAAATGAACGAGATAAGTTATAATGATTTAATTTACATTGGTCAAACTACGTGAGCCTTAATTTCGCGTTAAGGAACATGAGGCATATGTTAGAAAAGAGAAAACACAGAAGTTTTCTATTGCCCAACATTGTTGGTCCGAAAATCACACTTTCAATTTTTCTGCTGCCAAAATTATTCAAAAAACACCTACCATTGGTGAATTGGATTTTCTAGAGACATTTCGCATTCAAAAAAATCTTTCTGTTATAGTTAACGACCCTAATTCCAATCCATCTTTGACTTCAGCCTTTAAAGAAATTATGTTTTTGTTTCAGTTTGATCAACAGATGGCGCCAGTAGCTTATCTCCTGTGCAGGCTTTCTTATCTTTATCCCATCTGTTGCGAATTGTCCCAGATTATGTGCTGTTTCCAAAATTCACAAAAGTGGTATTCCTTTCAGCCCTATTATATCAAATTTAGGTACTGCCTCGTATCCGTTAGCTAAATATTTAGTTTCTAGATTTTCAACTCTATTACTCAATAACATTTACACCATAAAAAATTCAATAGAATTTGTAAGAAAGGTTAAAAACATTTCTCCTCGAAATTTACTCATGGCTTCTTTTGATGTAAAATCATTATTCGCCAATGTTCCAATGGAGGTTGTATTATGGTGTCTAGAAACCAGACTTTGAGAATTTCATTTTTATTGCATCGAAATTGATGAGCTAATTTCTCTCATTTAACGCTGTTTGAAAGAAACGCATTTTGTTTTCCAAAATAAATATTACAAGCAAAGTGTGGGATTAGCCATGGGAAGCCCCCTGAGTCCCATCCTGGCTGATATCTACAGGTATTATTATGAATCAAAATTTTTTGATACTTTAAACTTCCCGGTATGGTTCCGCTACGTAGACGATACTTTTAGCCTATTTGAAGGTAATAAAGATAATTTAAAGAAAATTCTTTCAACAATGAATTCCATTGATCCTGCTAACTTTTGAACTTGAGACTTGCAATTCTCTTCCATTTCTCGACATTCTGGTCACAGGTACACATCCAAATTCAGTACTACGATTTACCATAAACCTTCATCGGTTTGCCTTCCAACACACTTCAAATCATATCATCCTGTTAAAGAAAAGTTAACTTCATTTTATTCCTATGTTTTGCGTGCTCTTCAAGTTTGCTCCTCCAAATTATCCCTTGATGAAGAACTAAATTATTTAAAAGCAATAGCTATTACAGGGGCTCTTCACCCAATATTATTTATCAAGCAGTTAAAAAATTCTCATCTCGACACCAAAAGGCACGCTCTTGTTTTATGAGATTATAAAAATTCTGTTGTCATTCCCTTCTTTCCATTAATTAGCTATAAAGTTGAACGTATTTTTCAGAAATTTAACTTTCGGGTTGTTTATTCTCCCATCAATAAAATTAAAAGTTCCGTACTGAAGGACCCTCATTCGGGATATGAATTCCTGGGGTATTTGCAGGGTTCCTTGCCAGCGTGACTTAATTTACATTGGCCAAACTATAAGCTTTAAAATTTCGCGTTAAGAAACATTAGGCATATATTAGAAAAAAAGGAAACACCGAAATCTTCTGTTGCCCAACATTGTTGGTCCGAAAATCACACTTTTTCTGCTGCTAAATTTATTCGAAAAACATCTTCCATTGGTGAACTGGATTTTCTAGAGGAATTTCACATTAAAAAAAAAAATCTTTCAGTTCTAGTTAAAGGCCCTAATTCCAATACATCTTTGCCTTCAGCCTTTAAAGAAATTATATTTTATTTTGGTTTTATCAACAGATGGCGCCAGTCGCTTATTCCCTGTCCTGGCTTTCTTATCTTATCTAATCATTATATCTTATCTCTTTCATTTGCGCTTTTGCAGCTGAGGATGATGGTTCGGTATAAGCATCGAAACTAGTCCTGTGAAAATTTGAAAATATAACACTGATTTTTGTTGTTTTACTTCTAAATTAATATTTGTTCTGAGTGTTATTGTATCTTAATTACAGATGCTTTTTCAGACATCGTAGAACCAACTTCCTTTTCATCTGCATGTTCGTCAGTTAGCTTTACAAAATATTCTGCTTTAGTTAATTTAGTCATTGGGATATAATAGAGCTCTGTCTCATTTTGTTTTCTACAAGAGATTTGGTTTATTGCAAGATATTTAATGTCGTCATGGATTTACCGATCAACAAACTATAACATTTCTGTCTCTCTTTCCCCATGAGTCACAGAACCTGGCTTACAGAACAGTTACAGAATCCACGAGCCGCATGCTGCCCAAGAAGCAACTTTTATGCTGCCAGGGAAGATTTTTTAAGTTTCGTATTGTTAAAAAATACGATGCTGAAAAATTTTAAGATTTAGTTATTTGAAAATATAACGAGTTTATATTATTTTCATTGCATTAAAAATGAACATGAATAACGCGCCAGAAAACCTATATACGGAGCTAATTATTTTACAGAGTGATATAAATTATTCAGAGATTTGAAGATACGGATTCAATTAATTTTTATTTCTACCTGTCAAAAAATAAATTAAGCTCAGTTACGAATTTTTGTACTAAGAATGCTAATTTTGTTTTCTGAGTACATTATATGTTCAGATATTTACATGTTCAGATGAAAAGTAATCTAGATTTTTTTTTCACTTTTTGAGTTATGCACTCGAGATTCTTAAAGTACTGATTCTAGAAATTTCCACAATACGTGTTTTTTTTTTTTTTTTTTTTTTTTCCCATGAACAGAAGCTGTGGATCAATTAAAAAATGAAGTATTGATAAATTTTATAATCTTTAAAAGAAAAAGAAAAATGTTATAAAGATTTAGATTGTTTTTAATGCGTCCATTTTTATTCTCATAAACACCAATTTAATAGATGTTGGCTTTCATTTATTAAATTGGTGGAGGTTCATCCACTAATGATGTAAAATATTTCAAATTTAACACAGCTAACTAAATGTAAATTGTTACTGATTAAAAATTAAATGGAATGTTTAGCACAATAGAAAGAGATACTATTGAGAACAGTTACCGCTACTGGAAGCTGTTATGGTGCCCTCATTTTTCGCGTCATGATATGTCCATGAACCTATCCTTAAACAGTTAGACTTGTCTTGAAAAGGAATCGAGAAACCTGAAAAATTACAGAAGTATTTTAGTATTTTGGGGTGCTCCTCAAAGAAACAAAGAAAGAAGGAAAGAAAAAGAAATAAAGATAAATTAAAGAGCTGAACGTCAAGTCAAATAGCATTATAATTCTTTTCATTGCCTAAGTACTCTTCTTCTTCTACAAAAGACACATTTCATCACAGGTATGTGGGCCCCATATTTGGTTATCCTTCACTAAAAACATTAAGTTTTCTACAAGAGATTTGGTTTATTTGCAAGATACGTCAACCAAAATGTAAACGAAATTGTTCTCAGAACAGATGTATATCGCTTAGGGTGATCTACCACATTCAAGCATTGCTCTCATACATTAGCAAGGAAAAATAAATATTGGACAAATTTAATGTCGTCATGGATTTACCGATCAACAAACTATAACATTTCTGTCTCTTTCCCCATGAGTCACAGAACCTGGCTTACAGAACAGTTACAGAATCCACGAGCCGCATGCTGCCCAAGAAGCAATTTTATGCTGCCAGGGAAGATTTTTAAGTTTCGTATTTGTTAAAAATACGATGCTGAAAAATTTTAAGATTTTAGTTATTTGAAAATATAACGAGTTTATATTATTTTCATTTGCATTAAAAATGAACATGAATAACGCGCCAGAAAACCTATATACGGAGCTAATTATTTTACAGAGTGATATAAATTATTCAGAGATTTGAAGATACGGATTCAATTAATTTTTATTTCTACCTGTCAAAAAATAAATTAAGCTCAGTTACGAATTTTTGTACTAAGAATGCTAATTTTGTTTCTGAGTACATTTATATGTCAATTGCTTTTTGCGCAATTCGAAATTAGTAAAACAATATCCTATAGACCACTGAACATCTACGAACTACGATGAAGGTAATTTCTCTTAAAAGCTACAAACTTTATCAGAACAGAAACCTCATTAAGTGTCAAGCTATAAAAAGAAACAGAGAAGCTTGTATCTATATACATACAAATATACGTATTCTTATTTATGCGTCGAAGAAAAATTCAATAAATAAGAGACAGAGTTATTAATAGCTTGTTAATATTGTTGCGTGCGTACGGGTTCGTAATAAATTGAATGCACAAGTCCAATGACAAGTGAATAAAATTTATTCTTATCACAACATATAAAACAAAATGCTTAAATTTCCTCAGAGATATTCGTACAGTATCGCAATATCTGGCAGTAGTTATATTTTAAACAACGAAAATGTTGAATAGAACTCATTTCAAAACACCGAGAAAGCTAATCCGATGTCAACGCGAATTTGCTATAATCAGTAACAGCACTAAGTAAATAACTGAATAGAGATGTTTTAATCGGGTTTTCATTAGCTTTTCAATCAATGCAAGAGAACATTCTGGTATTTTTCCCATTTTTCTGGATAGCAAAAGAGCACAATTACGATATATCTATTTATTAAATGTTAAATGCGCATGCTCCTGTATTTTAATTTTTCCGACGTAGCTTAAAGAAATGTTAATGTAAGAATTTAATATTTATAATATTTAATTGTCAATATAAATATATTACAAAGCGTAGCCAACAAAAATGTCTTATAGGAACCAAACTTTAGATTTCAGAAAGAAAAAAATTAATTTGAACTCGTATAGATTCCTTTAGTTGTGAAACACTTATTGGCTGAGAGTACGGCTTTTATATATATGTCTGGTGTAATTTGGGTTCTAATCATGTAATTAATGGCATTGATGTGCTTAATGTGCCAAATAATTCTAAAATGGGAGATGGAATACATGTTCTAGCGAAGCGCGATAATGTTCATGCGAATTATTCTCCAATTATTAATAGTAAACCTAAGAATTAAACTGATCCCTTTAATTCAAAAGTCTGAGTTAATCTTCCAAATGTTGATATCTGGAATTACGAAAGGATACAAATAATAAACCTATAGAGAGTTTTGCATTTGAGTAAGAGTATTTCTTACTCAAGCAAAAGAATTTGCTAAAAAAGAGATGAAAGCTGTTCGAGTAAAGATTGAAGCAGGTCAAGGGGAAATGAATAGAGAAATCACTAACAAATAGAGAAGACGTTTGAGCCTATGGAAGGAAGAGCAGACACGGTTAAAAATAAAGTTAGAGAAATTGAAGAAAGATCTGCTGTCAATCAAAAGATCGATGACGGAGTTTCTGCTGCTATTGCCAAAATAGTTTGACAGCTTGAAGAAATCCATAGCTGAACACAATTCTGACACCGTTAAATCCACAGTATTCTCTTCCCGACCCTCTCTAAAAGTTTCCCCGTATGATGGAAAGACCTAAATGGCAAGTGCACAAGACTCACTTCTCTAGAGTGGTAAACACAAGTGGATGGAATCCTGAAATGTTCAGGTCTGTCATCTCGCAGCTTCTCTGAGAACAGATGCAGCGGATATCTTTCAAACTCTGCCCTAAAATCAGAGGCTAGACTTCGAAGCTGTGCCCGGCGCGTTGGAGCTGCACTTCAGCGAGAACTGCTTAAAAGACTGTAACAGGCTTCGGTTATAATGTCACCAAAAGAAGGCCATGGGCAGCGAAGTTTGAAAGGTCTCTCATCTGGCTTTTTCGGAATGAACATCAAAAACATGGAAAATCCTGTCTCTGCAATAACAGGTAACAGGCAACGGAGGGCGTAAGCACCATTCCCCTACCGTAATTAATTATTTGTTTGGTACCACGTCCGTCTTTGTCTAGAGCAACTCCCTAGTTTTTAGTTGGGGGTCACATAATCATCTCATACCTGTCCCCGAGACACAGCGACTGACGCATGGCTTTTATGAGTATCTAAGTGGCCACTGGGATTTTGTTTTTAACACATAGAATTTTTTACATTGTCATAAGAGGGCTATTTTAACATATTCTTTACAGTATCCAAATTTTACATCAGTTTTAAATTATACATCAATATCAAATTTCTATTAATGAATCAATCTACATAAGTTTGTATCAATTTCCTATCAGTCTACATAAATTTGAATATAGAATATTTCAACATATAAAAGAGATACTAATAATCATAATGGATGAATACATAATAAGTAAAACATAATAGATATATACATAGTAAAGTTGTAAATCCTATTACTTTCAATAATAAAAATTTTGAACAAAATTTGTAACGGTAATAAAAATGGTAATTGTGAAATAAATACTTTTAATTCACAATTACCATAAGTCTATAAACATATCTATCATAACATGCTTCCTAATTTTAGGGAAGTTTGTTCTTGAATATAGTGCCAGGAGTTAGCTATTATGTTAGGTATGTAATTCTTGTTAATGTCTTTCTTATAATTTTTTTTTAATTATGTGAGAAAAATATTTATCTTATAGTAGTTCTTTACAGTCCTTCATGTAGTGTATCTTTGTAAGTAATTCCTTAGAAAATATCATAATTTGTCCTTAGTAAAATGCTTTTGAAACTTATTCCTTCGATCTTCTTCTTTCAGAAATTTTATTTCCGGGTAACCTTCCTTTCTTCTATCTTAATTTCTTTTCTCCACCTTTTTCTGTATTTTCTTCTTATATATCCTCGCCCCTTTTTACTTCATACGGCGAATAAGGAATCCTCTTTATGAATTACTTGTTAACTTTTTCTTTCCACCTTCTATAGAATACTTTCCTTTTTCTTTTTAATACCTTTATTTGTAATTTAATACCTTTCAAACTATACCTTTTACTTTAGAGCCTCCTTCTTCTGCCTTTACATAGACGATTAAGTAGTCCTTCATTAAATGCTATATCCTCTTGAATACTACCCCCTTTCTTCCTAAATCTTTAGTTTTCCTTATTCTATAAAATTTCTTCATTTATATCTCAATTCCTTAAGCTTCTTCTTTTCCTGTAGCTTCCATTATGTTCCCTTCCTTCTTCATATATAGGACAAATATGAAATCCATCATTGTTTTGCTATCGGCGATTGAACGAGGTCACGAAGAAAGAAAGCTATCTTCTTAGAATTGACGACATTTCGGATACTCTTTCTGGAAGCAAGTGCTTACGCTTGATTTAGAGTGGATAATGTCCGTTAGAGATACACTCTGATGACCGAAAAAAGAGGGTATTTACAAAAGGTCTACGACTTTGTCAGCTCGACGTGATGCCGGTTGGATTGTTTATGCTCCAGAAACATTTGAAAATCTTATGGAGACAATGCGAAAAATAAGTGAGACATATAAGTGAGAGGTCTTTCCTACAAAGCATGTATGAATATACTTGAATGATATTCTTGCTGTTGGAAAAAGTTTTGAAGAACATTTGGAAAATATTAGGAAAATGGTTCAAAAACTCCAAGACAACCTAAAGTTAAGTCCTGCGAATTGTAAACTGTTCAGACAAACAATAACTTACCTCAGATATGTCATATTTGTACCGAATATGCGTTTAAGGGTACAGAAAAATTGTCGGCAGTTAAAGAGTGGAGACACACCTAAAATATCTATCAGCTGAGGAGATTACTGGGGCTTTGCATCCTATACGAGATTTGCGAAAGGCATGGCTTCCATCGCAAGACCCTTTCACAAACAGTCAGAGAGCAAACAAATGTTGTTGTGGTTAGACGAAGGTGAGGACGTATTTAACAACGTAATGGTGGTTTTAAGATATATGATAATACCTGACATATCCTCAACTCAACAAACCATTTATTCTCGACACGGATGAGAGCAATGATAGTGTCGGTGCTGTTTTGTCAGAAGAAACTGACGGTTGAAAACGTGTCGTGGTATTGTGGAGTCATGTTGTGTAGTCAATTTAAATCTATTAAATTAATTATAATTAATAACACTATATTAAGTATTGCTTATTATTTATTCAAAATTTAGACTACATAAAGCTTATTCATTTAATTAAAGTATTAGTTACTCAATTTTATTATTTCGGTTTTGTAAGTAAACTCTGTTCTTCTTATTCTTATCGAGTAACACGAGCGAGACAATGGCAACTGGTTGAATTTCTACGTAATATATTGGTTTAAAAATAATG